ATTCACTCCAATAGGTTACAATAGTTCACATGGTGTTTGTCTACCACTAGACACATCCACTCCAATAGGTTATGTCTATTCATTTTAAGTTGCATCTTTTCATCCCACAACCAACCGGTAATCACACTTGTTCAGTAAAAGACATCAATTAATGACTAATCAAATAATTTTCATTCATAATTTCTAACAGTATGTGTCTATTGATGTTATGCAATTTGTTTCCAATAGGTCATTTGGTGCAAAACCCCTAGAGTAAATCCTAAAAAGTTTTTGTAGTCATAGATTGTGTTTTGATATCGATCTAGCTTCCATTGGACCATATCTTGTAGTTTAGGATTTTTTTTTTTATTTTTAGAATGGAAAGATCAGTTTTCTATGTTTTATATGAGTGATATTTATTCTCATAAATTCAAGATATTTTTATTAATGCAAATTAGGATACATGATTATTTGATTAATGAAGTTCTTGATGTGTAATCTGTACTTGTGAAGATCAATTTACTATAGTTATTTATTTTTAGAGATGAGTCTCTTGGGTTCATATTTTTCATGTGCACTAGTTCAACTCCGAAAAAATTTAATTGAAATCATTATCAAGTTGACTAGGTTATATTGCTTATACAAGGTATAAATGTTATTGCTTAAAAAAAAAAAAATCAAAAGAATGCTGAAAATTTTTGCTAAGGAAAATGCTACCTATTGAGACTATTTTGAAAGCTCTTACTAGACTTTGAAGAGGAGCTAATTGAGTAAAAAGAAAGGAGGAGACAAGTTGAATAGGTGGGTCTTAAAATTTCGTGTTCATAAAGTGTTTTGAATTCTTGATAAATTTCTTGGACCTCATATTTGGCCTTGAAAGATTGATTGATGCATTCTCATGGTCATTTTGTTTGTTTGTTTTGTTTTTTTTTTTTTTTTAAAAAAAAAAGGGAAAAAAATTGAAAAATATGAAAATGTCTAAAAATATTTTGTTTTATCTTTAAATAGGAATTTTATTTGTGTTTCACAAGTTTGTTTGTTTATTTTATGTCATTTATGTGCTTATGTGCTTTCATGTGGTTTAAAGGGCAAAAAGATCAAGTTTTGTGGTTTTTCCCCTTTTCAGATTTGGTATGGTTTAAATCAAGTCACTAGTGCATGTCATATGTCTCGTGTTGAACATTGTGTCCATATAATTGCACATCCAAGACACCTCCATGTTTTATCACTTGTTCCAAATTATATTTCATGCATTGTTAAGGTAACATTGCTAGATTTGTTTCATTAATCATAAGTTTGGATCTTTTATTGTATTTTGATGCTAGAAATCTAGATTATGATTGATTGAAGGGGTTTGGGAAATATTTGAGGTTTTTAATTGATTTTAGGTGATTCATTACATTTGGGTGATTGGATTATCATTAGCTTTGAAGTATTTGATCTTCTTCATTTATAATTGAGGATTTGTGTTCATATTTGTTATTTGAACCTGAGGATGCAGTAAGTGGCATGGGCCAGTTATAGCTCGCTGGCATGGGATCGGGTCGAACAATTGAAGTATGGCCCATGCAAAAGTCAGGCCCAAAAGGAAGAAAACCCTTGAATAGAAGCCCAATGTAATCAGTTAGTGAGAATATTTGTAATGGTCTATAAATAGACCATTACGGGTGAATAAGAAGGGGGGATTTTCTATTGGAGTGTAAGAATTCTAGAGAGAGAAAGGAGAATGAATTTCTTGCATCTTCAATTGGCGCCATCTGTGGGAACGACGAAGAAGATCGATTCGAGCCTGATCAGTATCATGTTAGTTCAATCAAGTTTGTGAGCACACAGTTTGATTTCTGGTAGTTGAATCTAGATCAGTGAGATTGTAGTTTGTTCAGAGAGAATTCTTACTTATTGTCGATTCTAAGGCATTTGCCTCGGAATGACACAACTGTGATTTGTTCAATTGCAGTCAGATCCGGTGAGTTCAAAGCTAGAAAAGCTCAGATCTAGCAAACGGTGACCACGATTTGGTGAAATTGAGCCCAGATCTAACGGAATTTGCATCGGTGACACTCAGATCTGTTTCAGAGTTCGTAATTCATGCCTTTGCTTCGATCCGGAATCATGATAGGGGGTGAGAACTCCAATACGGTAGAGAATGTCCAGCAGGTGAAACTTGATGAGTTGATGAGCATGATCGAAGCTCTCCGGAGAGAAAATGCGGATTTAAGGATTGAAATGTAGCGTCAAGAAGCTCCAGTAATTCCGCGACCGCTCCTGGTGGGAGAAGAACATGCACGTACCAATGTGGCACATCACGGCGAGGAGGTTAGAAATAATCTAATAGATCCTCACCGCGAGGAAATCCGGCCAAACGGTTTGCCTCCAAATCTTCGTCGTATTGATGATCGTGAAGGATCGACTCACATGGATCCACGGCATGAGCAGATTAGGCGAAACAAAGCAATGACTTTTGATCCACATCAAGAAACGCTCAGCCAAGGTGAAGTAATTGAGTTGGATCGTCACAAAGCTATGCCTCCATGGCGCAAAGATTTTATTGAGGACAGATCATTCGATCCGACTTATCGTCCTTCCATGACGACGTTCGACTATCACGGCTCAGAGAGGAGATCTGTAGACCAGAGAGCAACCGCGGGGTTCCAGATGGAAAATGAAGCACTCCGTTCAGTAGCTCGAACGGTTGATTCACCGTTCACCAATGAGATTCTGAATGCTCCGAGTTCGAGGAAATTTTCCATGCCCGTTTTCATTTTGTTCGACGGAACGACCGATTCGATTGATCATGTGTATCACATCTAGTTGAAAATGGCTCTGACCACTAAGAATGACTCTTTGATGTGCAAGTGTTTTCCTACGAGTCTAGCTGGACCAGATCTAAATTGGTTCAAGAACCTGCCGAGGGGCTCAGTGGATAGTTTCCGAAGCTTGTGTGATCGGTTTATAAGCCAATATTATGGAAATAAGCGTCCAGCGAAGGACATTTCGAGCCTATTCACAATGAAGCAGCATGCTGATGAGCGTTTCCAGACTTTCCTAACCAGGTTTAACCTTACCAAGAGCATGGTGATTGAATGTCACCCTTCAATGGAAGTTCAAGCATTTATACTGGCCATGACTCGTGGCACCCCATTCCACACAAGCTTGGTGGTGACACGCTGAAAACTATGGATGAACTTAATGAAAGAGCAGATGGATTTGTGTGCTTGGAAAAAGAAGAGGCAGCAAACGCTCGGAAGACATCCGTCATATCCACGGAAGAAAAGACTAAAGCAAAGATCAGACAAAAGCAGGTTCAGCCGCAGCGCTCCTCGTGGAAATCTAGAAGAGGCCCAGAGAGGAAGAGCTGGTTACTCCATTGAAAGTTACCTTAGCAAGACTGTACCAAGAAAATAAAGATAAGTTCCGACCTCCTTTACCAATCAGACAACCCCTCGAATAGAGGGATCAGTCTAAGCACTATGCATTTCATTTTGACTTTGGCCATTAGACTAACGAATACAGGAACCTAAGGAGACAGGTAGAGATGCTGATAGCCAGAGGGGAGTTCGCAAGTTATATTCAAGGCCCAGTGGTGGAACAGAACCGACCAATGGAGCACGTGAAGAGGAATCAGAAGTCGAATTCTCACAACACGCAACCAGTCCGAATAATCAATGCAATTCACGGTCGGCCTGAGCCTGCTGAAGAGTCAGATGAACTGCTTCGAACACGCCTTCGCTAAGCACAAATGAAAAGAAGTATAGGCAGTGTCAACCTCTGCACCAACAGAGCACATCAACGCAGATAAAGTTTGACGAAACAGATCTATTGCGTGTTTAGATCCCTCATAAGAACCCGTTGGTCGTAAGTTTGACAATGGCCAAATGCTTGGTGCGCAGAGTTCTGATTGATCCTGGAAGTAGTGCGAACATCATGCCAAGGGATACATTTGATCGGCTCGAGATCAAGCAGGATCGGCTAAAATCCACCGGGAATCCTCTACTAGGGTTCGATGGAAAATAAGTGGAGCCCGTCAGTACGGTGGAGGTAGCGGTACATGCTGCCGAGAGGGTTCTGATGGAAACCTTTGTGGTTGTTGAAATTCATCATTCTTACAATCTTCTGATGGGCAGAGGGTGGATCCACAGAGTTCAAGGTGTTCCTTCCACTCTGCATCAGGTGATGAGATGCCTGGGGCCAGACGGGACCAGGTTGCAGCTAAAGAATGTTATTCAGTAACGCTGAAGCATGCCGGAAAAGGGAAAGCTCCCATTCGTTTAATAAGTCCAAGATAGCAATTACAGTAGCCTCCCTCCAAGCAGAATGGGGAGGAGGAGCTAGCGGACTTGACTGAAGAATCCCTGGTCGATGTGTAGATCGATCAGTTCCGACCGGAATGAACAACCAGAGTGGGGGAACGACTCGCTGAGGAGGAGAAGCAGGAGTTAGTTACTTTCTTGTCTCAAAACGTAGATGTATTTGCATGGAGTCACCTAGACATGCCAGGGATCGATCCTTCTATATCTTGTCACACCTTGAATGTTAATCCCAATGCAAAACCTGTAAAGCAGAAGCATCGACGGTTTGCTCCCGAGCGCAACCGGATCATTGCCGAGGAGGTTAACAGGCTGCTTGATGCGGGGTTTGTAAGAGAAGTGTACTACCCTGACTGGTTATCAAATGTTGTCATTGTGCAGAAGAAGAATGGGAAATGGCGAGTGTGCATTGATTTCACCAATTTAAACAAAGTCTGTCCGAAGGATAGCTTCCCGCTGCCAAAGATTGATCAAATGGTGGATGCAACTACTGGATATGAATGTTTGACCTTTTTAGATGCTTATTCAGGTTATAATCAGATCCCTATGGACCCTGCTGATGAAGAAAAAACTTCCTTCGTTACCGAACGCGGGACGTATTGCTACAAAGTCATGCCATTCGGACTGAAGAACGCCGGAGCAACTTACCAAAGACTTATTAGCAAAATTTTTAAGGGACAAATAGGGAAGACCGTGGAAGCTTACATTGATGACATGGTGGTAAAAAGTAAGAAGAAGGTTAACCATGTGAAACATCTACGAGACGTATTTGATATGTTGAGGCAGTATGGAATGAAGCTCAATCCAACCAAGTGCTCATTCGGTGTAAGTTTTGGCCAATTCTTGGGGCACGTGGTTAATCTTAGAGGCATCGAAACAAGCCCTGCCCAAGCAGAAGCTCTGACTAAGAATGCCGAGCCGATGACAGTCAAAGAAGTGCAAACACTTACGGGACGGATCGCTGCAGTGAGCCGGTTCATTTCCAAATTGTCAGATCGTTGCAAACCATTTTTTGACACAATACGAAGCCATGGCAGGCAAGTTTGGGGGGATGAACAGCACCTAGCATTAATTGCTCTGAAAAAGTATATGCAGAACCTTCCGGTCCTGTCAGCTCCAGAACCGGGGGAAAAGCTATTTTTATATCTCGGAGTATCCAGCATCGCGACAATTGGTGTTTTGATCCGCTATGCAGAAGGGAAGCAATATCCAGTGTTCTACGTTAGCAAGACAATGACAAAGGCCGAAAGGCGTTATTCAAAGGCAGAGTGGGCGATACTCTCGCAAGTGCATGCGAAAAGAAAGCTCAGGCATTATTTTAAATCCCATCCTATCATTGTTCTAACCACTTTCCCTATCAGAATAATCTTGCACAAACCAGATCTCTCAAGAAGAATGACGAAGTGGGCATAGAGTTAAGCTCATTTGATATCACATATGAACCAAGAACAGCAGTCAAAGGGCAAGCGGTGGCAGATTTTTTACTAAAATATGATTCAGAGGACATGGAGGAAGACCTTCGTGGTTGCTTATGGAAACTCTTCGTCAATGGATCCTCAAATCAGATGGGTGCAGGCATTGGGATCAAACTACAGACGCCGGAATCTACATCCTTAAGTCAAGCGCTTCGGCTTGAATTCGGAGCCACGAACAATGAGGCGGAGTATGAAGCACTGCTAGCAGGAATTAAGCTTGCCAATGAGCTGAAGGTCAGGAGTTTGACTGTTTTTAGTGACTCGCAGTTAATTGTTCGACAGGTGAATGACAAGTATAAAACCAAGGATGAAACGATGGAAGTATATCATTCTGCTGTTATGCGGGAGGCCAAAAACTTTGAAAAAATTGAATTCATTCAAATTCCAAAGGAGCATAATGAGGATGCCGATCGGCTAGCATGTAGTGCCTCGGGTTCTGGAGAAACATTAGCAAGGGTGATTCCAGTAGGAATATTAAACCAGCCATCCATTTTCAAAGAACCTTCGGGCTCAGATCCTTGGCAAGTGAATGTTATTCCATATGAGCCAAGCTAGATTGATCCGATCATGACTTACATCCGGGATGGTACTCTGCCTGAGCAAAGAAATGAGGCTAGGAAAATCAAATCGAATGCTGTAAAGTATGCCATAGTGCATAACCAATTGTACAGAAGATCTTTTTCCGGACCGTACTTAAAGTGCGTCACCCCCACAGAGGCTCGGCACATACTACGAGCTATTCATGAAGGTGTATGTGGAAACCACTCAGGGGGGAGGTCTTATGCGCACAAAGCAATGATGCAAGGGTACTTCTGGCCGAACATGTCACGAAATGCGGAAGAATTGTCCAGAAGATGCGATAAGTGCCAAAGGTTAGGACCACTGATTCACCAACCACCTGAGGACTTGCACGTAATGGCCACACCATGGCCTTTCGCACAGTGGGGGATGGATGTGGCTGGTCCTCTACCAGCTGTAAGAGCTCAGAATAAGTATGTGCTGCTGGCTATAGATTACTTTACTAAGTGGGTGGAAGTAGAGCCGTACCCGAGCGTTGCTCAAACTCATGTGAGACGGTTCATTTAGAGTAATATTATTTGCCGGTTTGGTGTTCCGAGGTCAATCATCATGGATAATGGGACCAACCTTGACAGTAAGCAAGTAAGAGGGTTATTGGAGGAATATGGAATTAATCAAAAGCTGGCGGCAGTAAGTCACCCCCAGGCCAATGGACAGGCGGAAATCACAAATAGAACAATCTTTGCTTGTATCAAGAAGAAGCTTGAAGAAAAAAAAAGAAAATGGTTAGATGAACTGCCGAACGTCCTATGGGCTTACAGAACGACCCCAAGGCGACCGACCGGAGAAAGCCCATTCACCATAGCTAATGGTACCGAGGCAGTTATACTGGTCGAGCACTTGGTTCCGATTGTTCGAAGCTTGGCATCGAATCGAGAGCATAATGACAGTATGTTGAGATTTAACCTCGATTTGTTGGAGGAAAAAAGAGGTGCAGCGGCAGTAAGGCTCGCATCCTACCAGCAGACGCTTGCGAATAGCCATAACAAAAAAGTAAAGCACAGAGACTTTACACCGGGTGATCTGGTTCTGAAAAAGAAGGTGGGGATAGTTAAAAAGATGATGCCACCATGGGAAGGTCCATACAGAATTGCAGAAGCCATAGGAAAGGGGGCATATACCTTAGAGACCATGGCCGGAAGGCTGGTTAACAAGCCTTGGAATGCTACTTCTCTGAAGAGGTATTATCAATAAAAAGTTGAATTTCAATGTTGAATTTTGTTCATTTTCAATTGAATACAGGCGAATGTACAATTTTATGAGATTTATAAAAATAATATTCCTCTTTAAGAGGTTGATTAAGTAAAAATAGCAAAGCCAAGTGGCAAGTGGCATTCTAGCTGAGCGCCAACCACTAAGCAAAGTAAGTGGCAGCTGGCACTATGAGCCGAACGCCAAAAACTTGCACAAAAAACTACTCTTGCAGTGACACACTAGCTGAAAGCCAACCACTGACATACAGGGAAGAACCAGATCAGATCATTAAATCAAAGAATTTACAGAAAGAGTTTGATCAGAAGTCGGCCATCTCATTAATAATAAAGTTTAAAGAGTTATAAAAATGATGAGGTATACAGATGGCAAAAATGCAAAAGAAAGAAAGTCAATACATGAAAAAGGTTTTTAACTAAGAAGTGTTTGCCTCTTGATGGTGCTGGATGGTCTCCTCATCATTGTTGGTGTCACCATCCTTACGGGGAGGAGAGTCGAGCTGAATGACAGAATTGTTCTACTAAGTCCCACCCTCAGTAGCGTTGGAAGAATCATTCTGCTGAGGGTTATCTTCAGCAGCAGTAACAGATGGAGTCACGGTGGACAGAGGAAGAATGTCCAAAGTCAGAGCAACAGAAGGAGTAGGAGTGATCCAGGAAGAGGCAATCTCTTGGCACTCATTAAATATGCCCTCAGCAGCGGTGGAGTCTGGATCGGCATAAATACCCGGAAAGTCAATCTTCAACTCCCTGTCAACATCATCAGGGGTAGAACTGGTCTGACCCTCACCCGGAATACGATCGGCATAACCTTCTCAGAACCCCTGAGTATATCTGAGGGCCCCAACTCTAGAAAACCGAGCATGCAGAGCTAGCATACCACCATTCACCCTACTAATGGTGTCGAGTAAAGCATTGCGCTCGTCCAAAGCCCTTTTCTCAAAGGCCATCTGAGCGGATTGCTCATCACTCAGAAGGCATAGCAGTTCTTCCTTTTCAGCCTTAAGGGATTCCCGATCGGTATGCCAGATGCTCTTCTCGAGCTGTAATGTATTCCTCTCATCCTGAAGAGAGTTGGTCTCCTTCCTTAAGGAGTCCCTCTCATTTTCAACCTTACCAAGCTGAACCATCAACCCGGTCTTCTGAGCAGCCAAAGCATCGTTCTTCTTGTTCGCTGCATTAAGGCTATCAGAGAACGCACTAACCTTGGCGTTTACAATCTCAACCTGCTTCTGCATAGCCATCATCCCGTACAGGGTCTGTAGAGATATACAGGACAACTGGTTAAACCGATCAGATGGTTAGAAGAAACTAAGTGTAAAGACTGTATAAAGATTTATTGACTAAAGAGGCAGAAGTTACCTCCATGGTAGATAAGGGAAATCGGCTGAACACTTCCTTCTGAGACAGACCCTTGGCTACCTCAATGTCCTTGGGAGTCCACATGCTCTTGTAGTATGCCATAGCGGTCTGACCATCCTTGAACATGGTCTCGTTCGGTTTTACAGACGATCCGTCTGTTCGAATGAAGCGAGGATTTCATGGTGCCGTTCTTGAGGCGGAGGCATACCCAGAAGGGGTAGGGGGCCTAGTCTGAGGAGGCCTTGCCGGAGATATCACATTTGGCCCAGAGGGCCTGACCCTCTGTGACAAAGGAACATCATCAATGCTGAGGGCACTACCAGGCTGGTGCCTTTTTCCTCTTGCCTTTTCCCGTGCGGAAGCAGTAGTAGAGCCGGGAAGATTGCTGATATAGGGGGTCACGTTCATACTGAAGGTCGCTATGTTGGCGACCGGGTCAGTAGCCGTCACGGTCGGATCGGTGGAAGGAGTGGTATCAGAAAGGGTAGCAGAGGAAGATGCTGAAGCTGGTGAAGGATTTGCTGCAGGGGTGATAACAGGCCTGGAGGCAGTTTTCCTCCTGCCAAATGAAGGGATCTGGAATTGACTCATTGTCTTGCCGAGGGCTGAGAGAGCAAGGAGGTTGTCTAAAGTGAGGAGGTCCGAGCAGGAGGGAACGTTGGTCAGAACGTACTGCTTCAGGTAGTTATCCATATCCCTGCACACACTGTAGCTCAAATCATCACAAGGAATGCCTAAGAAACGGTACAAGAAAGTACAAAAACGGGGAATACAAATCTCGCAAGGACAGTCACTCTTATGGGTTTTGTATTTCTTGTAAGAAGAGACAGAGCACTCTCCAAAAGTGCTCGGGATAGGAAAATCCTCCGCAGCTGGAGGGAACCAGGCTCCCCTAACCCCAATTATATTTTTCCTTAAACCCTTCTCGGATTTGATTTTATCTATGCAGATGGACCTCTTCTCAACGGGGAAAAAGTGGTAAAACGGTTCATCAGTTCTGATCTTGCTAACCTTGTAACAGAGGAGAAGATCTATGAGGTCCAGATCTAGACCTCTGTTACGGATCAGAAGTAACATAACAGACAAAATCCTAAGGAAATTTGGGTTTACTTGCAAAGGGGAAAGTTTTAGTTTGTTGAAAACATAGCAAAAGAAAGGATGCAAAGGGAACCTAAGGAGGTTAAGATGAAGGAGTGAAAAAAGAACCTCGCCGGGAAGAAGGCCAGCACCGGTTCTAGTATTCACCTCTCTAGGGCAATTTCTAATTTGTATATCGTCAGGGAGGTGAAGTTTTATGCGAAGAACATCTAGAACTACAGTCATGGTGAGAATGAATGAAGATTTTAAGGAAGAGAAAGAGGTCTTCCGAAAGAAAAATGCAAATGAAACTAACCTCAGAAAGTGAGAACAACAAAGAGTACTGCAAGGTCGCTGGAAGGAGGATCTTTTGCAAGAAATCGCCGAAGAAGATTCGAACAACAGAAAGTGAGATGGAGACGGTAAAGAGAATCGATGGAACATCTATGAGGCTTATAAAGACAAGGTGGGCCCGAGGGCCAAGGAGTCAGGAAAGCGAGGAGTTTTTTGAATCTCGAAACGCTGACCCCCAAATCTAACCGTCCATTCTTCCACACGATCTTCTTGAGCCGTCAGGTCATGATTAGCAACCTCTAATAATTACCCCCTAATCAATAGGGAGTAATTATGGGGGCAGTTGAGGATGCAGTAAGTGGCATAGGCCGGTTATAGCTCGCTGGCATGGGATCAGGTCAAACAATTGAAGTATGGCCCATGCAAAAGCACCACGGAATGGGCCGAGCTTGGAGGATCCACTGAGGAAGATCAAGCCTATTGGAAAGTTAGGCCCAAAAGGAAAAAAACTCTTGAATAGAAGCCCAATGTAATCAGTTAGTGAAAATATTTGTAATGGTCTATAAATAGACCATTACGGGTGGATAAGAAGGGGGGATTTTCTATTGGAGTGTAGGAATTCTAGAGAGAGAAAGGAGAATGAATTTCTTGCATCTTCAGAACCCATTGGAGAAGATTTTCAAATTTGAGGTTAGAAATGATGCACTCTAAGAGTTTGATATATTATCTCAACCAAGTTTGCTTATCTTAGACGAAGTGTTGCAACATATTCTAATATAACAAATTCTAATGCAACACATTCTAATAAACATTATCTTAACCTGCAGGCTATTTTGTCTTAATAAGGCTTTAAGGTTTGGTTTGTGAGCTCAAAACCAAATGCTCATAGTTTTTAGTCCAGATTTCTATATACACAGCTTTATAACGATTTAGTATACTTCTTCAAAGTATAATCTCAATACATATATCAAAAAATCAGTATAAGACAGTCCATCAAAGACTATGCACCAGAAAATAGGCTAAAACTAAGAT